CACACACACACACACACACAGCCCTGCTGTCCATGTGTTCACTAACAAAGCTGTGGCAGGTGATATATGGCCGCAAAAAGCGATACGGACACACAACATGGTGGAGAGAGCAAAAGAGCAGTACTCACAAGTCTGGTCTCTCCGTCTCTGGCCCAGGCTCGTCCGTTCTGCACATATTTATTTAGACTCTGACGCTTCTTCTGGCCTCCGTCCGCAAACTTGCACAGCAAGGGTTCTGATGGGGCTGCAGACACACACATGAACTCTCAGCGTGATGTTGACTGCTCGCTCATAGACAGCAGAGCTGAGCGCTCCGACCAAAACCATCATAATGTGACAGTAGAAATGGCTTGAGATTTTGTTAAACCCCAGCAGAACTGCTTTATGTTATTTAGCGCATCAAACATGGAGGGAAAATACAGAGCAGGACGTGATCAAAGACATTTTAGCAACCTCTGAAACGACTTTCCTTTTGGATGACATCACAAATGCCTCTTATTTTTAGCCCCTCCCCCTCTCCCTCAATTCTGGTACTGTATATAAAGCCCACTTTTCACAATCCGATCAATACACAATATATCGGCACCATGTCAGGTGAATATGGCCATTGATTGATTTAATTTGTTTCTGTGTATTCAAGATTTAAGATTCCTTATCTAGCAATAACTTAAAGTGATAACGACAAAGATTTAACCCTTTAAGAGCAAAATCTTTTGAATATTTTATTGTAATATGTCGTGCTCTTAAAAGGAATGTGCTTTAGTTAGTTATTCCGACCCATAAGAAAAAAACCATGCTTTGGTAAATCATAATTATGAGATTAAAAAGCCATAATTAGGAGATCAATTGTAATTATGACAAAATGTCTACATTTTGACTTTTTGTCATAATTATGACGTTTTGGCAATTTTGACTTTTTATCTCTGAACAATAACTAAGAATGTCATAATTCTCATAATTATGTCATAATTTTTACATTTTATCTCATAATTGTTACTTTTTATGTCCTAATTATGAATTCTGAAAATTAGGATTTTTTTCTTGTGTGGTAGAAACTTCTAAATTATTTTATGTTATTTTTATTATGTTTTATTATGTTGTTTTGTAAACAAATTAAGACTTGCAATATCACCCATTTATAGGTTTTCAGCCATAACATTTAATGTCATAATTTTGACTTTTTATCTCATAATTATGACGTAATTACTTTATCTCATTTCAAATTTTGATGTCCAAAGTATGTCTTAATTTCAGCTTTTTTGTATTTTTTTTTTTTTAAATATGTGGTGGAAACGTCCAAATAATAATTATTTTTATAATGTTTTATTAAGTTATGTTTATATTAAGTTGTCTTTTTAACAAATCCAGATATATTTACAATATCTTCCGTTTATTGGTTATCAGCCATAACATTTGGACTTTTTGACAGAATTATGACTTTCTATCTCATAATTATGTCTTTTTATTTCATAACCGTAACTTTTCATGTCATAATTATGACTTATTAAAGTATTTTTTTCTTATGTGGCAGAAATAGTTTTTCATAATTTTAAGTTAGTTTTATTGTGTTTTATTAAGTTATGTTTTCTGTGTCTTTTTCAAGAAAGAGTTGCAATATCTGCTAATTACTGGCTTTCGGCCATAACATCTAAATAATTACAGCATCAGCCACAGTTTCAGTATTGGAGCATCCCTAATTTCTGTCGCATAAAACCCAGTATTTTTCCACACTGAATATCAATGTTGCATGAAAAAACACATCTAATTATGGGGGTGAAATGGGATGCACACATTGACTTTAATGCTGCAAATTGCGATGTTGCTTTGCTGCTAGATGAGCAAACTTGTTCTGTTATATATTTTCTTTGTTGCACATGTAAATGTAAGCGTGACTCTTTCTACCACAGCATAAACGGCCCAGCAAAATCTCCACCAGTTATATGCCGTCATCTCAAGACCCTCTGAGGCTATCTGGCTCCATCCGCAATGACTTGGAGAACAGGCATCTAATTTGGACGCTGTCTTCGTATAATCCCCTTCCTTCATTTCTGACACAGTCAGTGGAGACTATTTCAGTCTAATAATCCAATTAAAATGCTTAGAGAGGCCACGCCAGGCCAGTAAGAGAAAATTAGCACGCATTGCTTTCACTTGAGCCCCAAATGAGCCTCCACTAATCAATAAGCTGCATCATGCCCATGTAGCTCCTCCCAGCTCTGTAATTTCAGCATTTCGTGCAGCGAGTCTAAATCTACATTCGTGCGAAAGCCGTTTGGTATGGCTGAACGGTTGCGCCACATGCCCGAAAGCCTGTTTCCATTTAGACCCCATCCGAGGGGAATCATTACCAGAGAATGAATGAATGTGCTCGCACACAGCAGCGTTGTGTCTTTATGCTCAAACAAAACACATATTAAAGCAGTAGTTCACCCAAAAATGACAATTCAATCATTTACTCCTATTGCATGGAGAAAAGTGGCAAGGATATCCTTCAGAAATGTACCCTCTCCTTTTATGGAAGAAAAAAAGTCATACAGGTTTGGAGACAACATGAGGGCGAGCCGAGTATTTTAATTGTTTTCATGAACTATTGCATTAAAGTAGACGTGAAGCAGGCAGACACACACTTACCCATAACTCCAGCTGGAGTTTTGAGAAATTTCCCGTTGAAGTGAGAGATGACAGCTTCACATTTCTCCGTCGACTCCATCCTAGAGAAACAGATTACCGGTTTAAAGGTTTACACATTTCACTCTCGGTTTGAGTATAAAACGTCATTCCCATCACCTGCACCAGCTGTCAGTGTTGAGAAACATTAAAGTCATATGAAGAATAGCTAGGCGATTTTGCATTACATAAAGTATAATGCACTCATTTTAATGCATTTCATTAAGGCCAGTCATATAGTTTCATGATCCTTATTTTTCTTTTCCTGACAAAGACATTTTATTTATCTCTCATTTAAACTTTAGTTAGAGTTGGTAAGTTTGATTCATTTCAGTGAATCACTTCTACCTGTTCATTTTAGTGAATCGGTTCAAAACTCTGATTCAATGATTAATGCGCGCACTCAGAAATGTCTCTGCATGGCATTTTTATGCATTAAAATGTTTAGCAAAAATATATGTAGTTAAACATTGCTGTTAATTTTCATATTTTGTTATAGCCGTGCGTATAAATCTTGCTTCAGTTCATTTACAGAGGAAAACATGTTTGGATAATTGAACTGCAAACAAATACACTGTAATCAATTTCAGAATAAATACAGAGTTTTGAACTGAATATCATCAAAAAGGGGGTGCAAAACTGAAATTATCATAAATGTTTAGATATGCCGAGCTAGGCAATATACTTTGCCAATATACTCTTTGTGTTTATTATTAAAAACAAATTTCATTATTTATGTTTATATTGTTGTTATTTGAAAAATGACTGATTCATCTGATTATACAGGAATAACCCTCGGGTTAGTACAGTCAAGTAATCAAAAGAGGGTAAAAAATGGACATTTTAGTGAATGTTTAGATTGCAGAGCTATGAAAATCATAAGTTTTTGCCAATGCATTCTGATTATCATTAAAAGCAGTTTTCATTGTTTATATTTCTATCATTGTAATTTGAAAATGTACTTCTTGAAACATATTTATCTGATTAAATGAACTAGTTAAAAAAGATTTTTCTGTTGTCTTACATGTTTTCTCAATAAAGACATGTTTAAAAAAAATGAACTGGTTTCGTTTTATTTAAGGGGGTTTTCACTCAAATTTGCAGGAATAAACCTTAGGTTAATACAATCAAGTCATCAAAAGAGGGTACAACTTGACATTTTCATGAAAGTTTAGATATGCAGAGCTATGAAAATCATAACGACAAGTTTTGCCAATGCGCTCTGTTTATCATTAAAAACAGTTTTCATTATTTATTCTGTTATTTGAAAATGTATCATTAATTTATCAGTTTATCATGAAAATCTCTTTTCGCTTTTTATATTTATGTCATTGACATTTGAAAACGTACTTCTCCAAACACATACAGTTCAGATTTCTTTCAGTTCAGCGTTTTTTCACTCAAGTGCGTGAGAATAACACTTAGGTTAGTACAATCAAGTTTTTACTTGTCATACATTTACAAAGAGAAGTTCAGAGAGTTCAGTTTCCTGGCTTTGCCGTGCTGATATGTCAGATACACAGCTATGTTTTCAAGGAGCTGACTGGCACTAAGAATCATGGGAGGGCCTGAAGTGTTTGTGTTGTGGCGGGCACAATGCCAGGGGCTTTCCAGGACGCCTGATTCCCTGACGGACGCTGCAGTCTTCAACCACGGTTGGTACATTGAGGGGAATTCACAAAGAATGATAGTGTGACAACAGGAGCTGATCTGGTGATTCGGGGTCAGATACTAGACACTCACCTCGCAAATCCGACCCCTCGGCTGGCCCCGTTGGTGTCCCGCAGGACGCGTGTGGAGACGACCTGTCCGAAGGGCTTCAGCATGGCCTCTAACTCCTGTTCATCCATGGTCAGCGGTAGGTTAGATATGTACAGGTTAGTGGGGTCCTGCTCTTGTTGCTGTCGGGAGAGAAAAAGAAACAAAAACGAAACGTAAAACATGAACTTTTTGCCATTTTCCTGGTGAAAAAGTCACTGATCGATAGCATCACAATGAGCTTAACTCGTACTGAACCTGGAACATTTGTGTAATTGTGTAATTATTCTTAGCACAGGTAGGTTACACACCTGTAAAAACACCTCAGATCTTATCGTTCAGTTCATTCACACACTGCCAGAGTTTTGTCACAGTTATTATGTCACACACTTTATCAGTTAACGGAAGAAAGAACACCTGGAGATCTGACAACAGAAATCACTGACCATCCACACCTGCAGGTCAACAATCGGCCTGTTTCAAAACCTAGTGAGCTGCATGCATGGATGCCTTCTTACATGTCCCAGCAAATACATAGTATAATTACATAATATAATCACAGCCAATCAGAACCCTGTGCACCATGGGACAAATAGAATCCAAGCAACCAATAAAATGTCCTGAATAGGCAATCTAGGCATTTGTTAATTAGACTAAATTTATATACATATATACATACTTAATTTTTAAACATATATATGCTTCATATCTTGGGGAATTGAGTATACTAATATAATCAGCATATCAGCATAATAAGCACAAATATTAATCATATACATAAATACTTAATATTTGTTTTTATATTTAATATAGACCTAATATAATATATAATATATAATATAATATATTTAATACAATTAAATATTTAATATTATTATATTACTATATGTAATATTTTTTATTATATATCTGCAAAATACAGACCTAAATGTACACACACACACACACACACACACACACACATAGATATGTGTTGTCTAATATACACAAAAAATATTAAAATATAAACAAAAATATAAACACAAAATATTAAATATTATATAATATAATAACAGTATTTTATTTTTCTGAAACTTTCACTAATTTTGTCTAATTCATTATAGACCAGTAAATATTACATACACACACACACACACACACAAAATATGAAATATTATATCATATATTAACAGTATTTTACATTTGGGAAACTTTTTCACTAATTTTGTCTAATGCATTATGGGCTTGCAATCTCTGCAAATGATACCTTCAAGGCTGCCTACCTTTTAGAACAGGGTTTGTGTCAATGCCTTAAAATGCTGTCTAGGTAGGCAGCTCACTAGGTTTTAGTAGAACTGTGAATGAAGACAATATCTAAATACTTACATGGTACAGGTGAATTAAATTCATAAACGAGGTTAAAGTGAAAGCATGTCTTCCTCTCCGGACTCTCCAGTTAATAAAGGGTGAGCATTAATATTGATGAGCGGCTCATTTGCATGCAGCTCTCGGCCACCCCCCGTCCAAGCAGTGAAACCTCGACTGATTTTCCCTTCCATCAGCAGAAACGGAAAGCGAAACAGGCAGAGCGAGAGAGAGAGACTCTCTCCGGGGACAAAAGGGCCGCTACATTAATATTCATTAACATCCTACTGCGTTCAATCTCCACCCCTAAGAGATGGAGGGAAAATGAGCAGAACAAAGAGGAGACAAGGGAGAGGCGGGATTGGATTACTAAAGTAATACGCTGACAGAAAAAAATCAGCATAGCGCCATTAGGGAACAATGGCAGAGGGCCGGCGCTCAGCTGTCGAACCATCACGGGGAACGGACGCAAGAGCAAACAGGTGCTGGAGATCCTAGAGAGTCGTCAAACACGATGTTTAAAAAAATATTAGCTATTAGGAATGACAGTGTCCATAACTTAACACTGAAGGACGAACGCTGAAGCTAATAGCGGGTGTTTTATGGGCCTGTTTTTGAATGGCAAATAAATTCACGATGTGCTTGGCTTGCTCCAGAGGGAGAACTAAAACGCTGGCATGGTTTTAAACAGACTTATCCCGACCGAAACCTAATACCAGAGCCACATACCAGTGCTAGCCCTGCTCATCAGGCTCGGGTTACAGCAGCCATACGCAAACTCTGGAAGCAAAATAGCATGGATTAAAATGCTAAAATATGCAAAATTGAATTTTAAAAATGCATTTAATGCAGGGATGCATTCAACTATTCAAAAGTGACAGTAAAGACATTTACTTTGTTACAAAAAAATCTATTTCATATAAATGCTGCTCTTATGAACTTTCAATTCATCAAATAAAAATATTCCACGGTTTTCACAAAAATATGAAGCAGCACAACTGTTTTCAACACTGATATTAATCACAAATGTTTCTTGAGCAGCAAATCAGTATATTAGAATGATTTCGGAAGGATCATGTGACACTGAAGACTGGAGTAATGATGCTGAAAATACAGCTTTGATCACAGGGATAAATTACATTTTATAATATATTCAAACAGAAAAGTTATTTTAAATTGTATTAATATTTCACAATATTTTACTGTATTTTTGATCAAATAAATGCAGCCTGGGTGAGCAGAAGAGATTTGTCGTACCAACCAAATATATATAACACATAAATATATTAATATATAAGTATATATTAATATTAAATATATAATATTTGGATAAATAAATTCAAATATAAAGTATATGTGCGTTTTTTAGACAAATATAAATTGGCTATTAATTTCTTCATAAATCTTACATTTTTGCTATATAAACAAAAAACTGGATTAGCTGCAGTGTTTTTTTAGTATCATTGATATACTATTATAGTTAATATTTTGATAAATTAGATTTTTTTTGTACATTTACTGTTTTCACTTTAATATGAGTAAAAGTCTAGTATATCTGTATCTATATAGATTTGATTATTTTTAGTTATTTTAGTACTTCAAGTTAAACTAAATGAAAATTAGAAATATTGCCCAGGCAACTAGCTAAAATAAAATAAGTTTAGGTTTTTATTTCATTTTATTTCAGTTAATTTTCTTTTTTTTTTCTCCAAGAAACAAAAATGTTCCAAGTGTGCATCATTTCCAAAATTCCATTATTTCATGACATTTGTATGACTATTATTCAAAAATGTGCTCTAAAAAAGAAATAAATAAAACAATATACATGCTACACCTAGGTGAAGTAATGCAGGGCTGGTGCATCTGGCCTCAGATTACCGGACAGAGCGAGGCTGCGCAGACATGGAAATCAGCTCAGCGCTGGAACGTCCTGACACTGAGCCGCTTCAGGCACGCAATGCTGAATTACATCTCTCAGGTCAGGCATTAAGAGCTTTACGTTGATATCAGTGTGCAGATGCTGAGAAAAGCGGAGCTTTTCCCTTTACATCAATCTCACACATGCACATCCCTATCAGCTGATTGCATTAGATACCAAATACCAATTTCCAGCACAAAAACACAATATAAATAAGTGAATCTTCAAAGAAATCAAGTGTGAAATATTCCAATAGACTAGTATAAACTAGAATAGCAGTGCAGCAAACATTGGTATCTGTGTGTGGGCTTGCATGTGTGTCACCTGCTAACAATTTACTCAACACGAACCATGTGACTTCGACAAAAAAAGCACACAATATGTGTGTGGAGTAAGTGTGTGTCAGACACAGATGGTACGAGAGAAAGTGAGAGAAAAAAACTAAGTGTATATGAGTGTGAACGAGAATGCATGGGCATATGTGAGAGTAAAAAGACTGTGTTCAGAACATCATCCTAATCTTTCTATTCCTGCAGTATATAGTATGTATGCTGTGCACAATATCTATCTATATGCACAGAATATCTGGATGACCTACTATGCAAAAAGTTCAGTACACAAGAGAAAACACAATGTGCAATGCAATGTTCTCAGCTTGACATTATCTTTAAAGCAATAGTTCACCCAAAAGTGAAAAATGGCTGTTTATGTTAAATGTTCTCACTCTTAGCCCTTTCAAGATGTAGATGAATTTGTGTCTTCATCAGATTTGGAGAAATGTAGCATTCCATCACTTGCTCACCAATGGATGCTCTGCAGTGAATGGGTGCCGTCAGAATGAGAGTCTAAGCAGCTGATAAAAACATCACAATAATCCACAAGTAATCCACAGCACTCCAGTACCTCAATTAACATGTAGTGAAGTGAAAAGCTGTGTGTTTGTAAGAAACAAATCCATCATTAAGGCATTTTTTAACTTCAAACTGTTGTTTCTGGCTAAAATATGAGTCCATAATCCATAATATTGCTTCCTCCAGTGAAAGTCCTTCTCCTGTTGTCTCTCACATCACAATCACCCACATATTTGTTTAGAGCTCTTTTGGACTGTTTTTGTTGTAAACGGTGCTTGATCTGTGCAGATTTCTCTCCTGATTCACACGAGATTACTTTTTCACTGGAGGAAGCAATATTATGGATAGAGGACTCATATTTTAGCCAGAAACATCAGTTTAAAGTTTAAAAATGCCTAAATGATGGATTTGTTTCTCACAAACAAGCAGCTTTTATCTTCTCAAGACATTAACTGATGGACTGGAGTGGTGTGGATTACTTGTGGATTATTGTGATGTTTTTATCAGCTGTTTGGACTCTCATTCTGACGGCACCCATTCACTGCAGAGGATTCATTGGTGAGACACTGATGCAATGCTACATTTCTCCAAATCTTTTCATTTTTGGGTGAGCTATTCTTTAATGTCTCTTTCTTGACTGAATATTTTATTAAAATGCCAAAAAATTACTATTGCAAGACTTATTGGGTAACACTTTATAAAAAGGATACATGAATAACCATGTACTAATGGCTAAATTAACCCTTAATCCATCATATACTAATGATTACTGAAGTTGCTAACTAATCATGAACTAATAAAGAGCTATCCTTAACTACAACCAGAGTCAAAAGGATTCACGCATGAATAACGGCAGCCTTAACTACATGTTAGTACCTGTTTGATAGTTAATGCATTAATTAACATTCATGGGTAAACTAAATCAAACAGCCTCTTTAAGAACAAATTGGAAATACTATGACTTTTAAATGAATTTAAATAATTTAAAGGGTTAGTTCACCCAAAAATGTAAATTAGCCTGTGTTTTACTCACCCTCGAGGCATCCTATGTGTATATGACTTTCTTCTTTCAGACGAATACATTTGGAGTTATATTAAAAATTGTCCTGGCTCTTCTAAGCTCTATCATTGTAGTGGGCAGGTGTTTCTGTTCAACAGTCCAAAACACATTAAATAAAGCGTGTGCATCCGTAATAAAACGTGCCTCCCACGGCTCCGGGGCATGAATAAAGGCCTCCTGTAGCGAATCCATGCGTTTTTATAAGAAAAATATCCCTATTTCAAACATAATAATCACTTTTCTCTCACTTCTGCTGACTGTCGTATGCGGAAGCATTCCGGCGGATGACGTAGGACGCTTGCGTCGCGTGCGCGCCTCTGAGAAATGCTAGTCTCACGAGTTTGTTTAAGGAAGCAAAGTTTCCTTACTTTAGCAAAGGAAAACCAGTCTCCTCTTGGCTTATATCGAAATCCTCCGACATTTTTCTTTACAAATCCTCGGTTTGTACTTCTAATTCATGACCGGCGTTTTGTTTTGTTCTCTCTCCGCGTTCGTCACTAATCACGCAACACTGACATCCTACGCATATGACAGATAGCGGAAGTGATAGAAAAGTGTTTATTACATTTAAAATATGGATATTTGAGTTCATTATTTTGACATGACTTTACTTGAGAGGGCCCAACATAACTAACTCATTATTAACTACCCATGCACTAACATCTACTAATGGTTTGTTAATGCATTATTTTGACATGACTTTACTTGAGGGGGCCCAATCATAATTAATTCCCTGTTAACTACTTTCTAAATTCAGCTCATTATTTATTTTATACATAATATGAAATGCACATGTACTAACACAGTGAGTATTCAGTCCGGTTAAGAGGTCAGAGAGCGGAGGTACAGTATCATCATGGCCTGCCATGGAGAGTGAACTGTACTGATATCCAGCAAACGCTGTGACTTTACCTGCAGTACGTTTCCAGTTTGGCCATTTCTTTGGGTTTTGTTCTACAAATATTCTTTGTGGGTTTTGAGTTTTTATTTATTTATTTAGCTGCGTATAAGTCACAGTAGGGTAAGTTTAAAGGGAAAGAGAACAACACAAAACAGACGAGATCAGTTGTTAGTGTATTTAGCATTTTCTACACTTGATGAAGAGGATCAACCAATCCTTTGCCACCCAGTAATGATTGACAATGCTGAAGATGAAAAAAGCTCAAATTATGATATTAAATTATTTAAATTCATTTAAAAGTCATAGTATTTCTTATTTGTTCTTAAAGAGGCTGTTTGATTTAGTTTATCCATGAATGTTAATTAATGCATTAACTATCAAACAGGTACTAACATGTAGTTAAGGCTGCCGTTATTCATGCGTGAATCCTTTTGACTCTGGTTGTAGTTAAGGATTTATTAGTTCATGATTAGTTAGCAACTTCAGTAATCATTAGTATACGATGAATTAAGTATTAATGTAGCCATTAGTACATGGTTATTCATGTACCCTTATTATAAAGTGTTACCACTTATTGTTGCATATTGTGTTCTGTGAGTCACATACATATGTTTAAAACACAGTAGGAAGTATAAAGTACATACTTAAAAATAAGTCAGTTTTTCCACTGCAAACAAAGCCAGAGTGCAGGGTTCAGACACAGTGCCATGTCACCAGGTTACTCCAGGGGCTTCCTGTCTGAGATATTAATGTCTAACCATCTGTTTATATCATAAACAAGGTGAAAGGAAGATACATCCAAGGACAACAAGCCAAGATGTCTGTGGCAGAAAGCGAGCATGACAAATGCACACCTCTCGTCCATTTCTAATGCACTGTGCATGGAGGAAGAGAGACAAAACTTCAATTTTTTAGGTGAACTATTTCTTTAAGACAAAGCCTTATTTAAAAATATAACTGAACTGTGATTTTCAGCCATAAAAACCCTGTCAGTGCTGATACGGTTTAACATTTCCATGTCCCACTTAAAATCTGCAATTCTGTTTTAATTATGCACTTCCCCTTTAAATAAACATGCATGCAAATTCTGCTGCTCTGATGCTTTGCAAATTTATTGGTGAATCGTCGCAAAAGACCAAGAACAGTCAGGGCAATGCTATTTCAGTAACACTGATATACTATTATAGGCTTTGTTAATATTTTGAGTTGTCATGAAAACGGCATTGTCAAAATACAAAATATCTTGATAATCTAGAAGGCAGTCTTCATTTACTTAAAGGGGTCATATGATGTTGCTAAAAAGAACATTATTTTGTGTATTTGGTGTAATGAAATGTCTTTATGCGGTTTAAGGTTCAAAAAACACATTTTCCACATACTGTACATTATTGTTTCTCCTCTATGCCCCGCCTTTCTGAAACGCGTCGATTTTTTACAAAGCTCATCGGTCTGAATAGCGAGGTGTGCTCTGATTGGCCAGCTATCCAGTGCGTTGTGATTGGCCGAATACCTCAAGCGTGTGACGGAAATGTTACGCCCCTCACCATACTGTGATGCCGTGTCCCGGTGCGACGAGACAAAAACATTAAAACCCATTATAAACAAGGCTTTTGTTGCATCCAGTGGGGACATAATTATGGATTATAATGACTTGTACTGTCTTTTTACGCGTTGTGTTGCATCGCGCCACGTAAACATAAAACCATGTCTGCATTTGTGATCGGAGAAA